ACCTCGGCACGCACAAAGATACCGTACCAAACGTGCAAGAAAAAAACATGCCTGCCGCCTAGCGTTGTCATGACATGACATATCTGAGTGGTGCCAGTGTTGTTGTAAAGGAGACGGTTTTTGGTTGTCACACACCGCGCCGTTTAAACAGAAATCCATCGGGGCATAGCACAAACGGCAGGAGCGGCAGGACATTCAAAAATGGTGCGAAACGGTAACGCCAACTGTTTCGGCATATTTGCACGAGTTCCTGAAGTTTCGATTTCTAGGTCCGTAGTCAGTCGCGTCCCTCTTTAAACAGGGATTAAGTAGGTCCATGGCACCGTGTGGGCGACACCATGACAACACACCAGGTAAGGCATTGCCCATTTGAGGTGAGCAGTTGTGGAACGGTTCACCAGTTTGGCCGATTGCAAGATGAGCCTCCAATATTCAAACAAGTTTGATGGGCCGAAGTCGGGCCATCTTTCCATGAAGATGGATGGTATGTGCTGATTTCGTTCATCGAGCAGGAAAAGGTGACCCCTGCAAATCCCGCACAAATTTTGGGGCCTTTCCCAAATTCTGTGATTGACCGAAGATACCTGGTTGTGTTGTTGCTCTGGCTTTGGAGTGGTTTTATTATGTTTTATTGGTTTTTCTTGACGTCTAGTTGGTGTGTTGTTGATCTCTTGTTGATCTCTTGTTGATCTCTTGTTGACGCTGTTGTTGACGCTGTTGATGTTGTTGAGGCTGTTTGCTTTGTTGCTATTGGGCTTTTTGGGTTGTTGGGTTGGTTGGTTCGTTGGTTCGTTGGTTGCTGGTCCAAAGCCCCGGCGTCTGGGAATTCTCGAGCAACGGAGCCTTGTTAGGGCGGTGACTTCATCAAGCCACATGTGGTTGTGGCCTTAAAAAAGATGCTAAACTTACTGGTGCTTAGTAGGGAATGAGGGAATGATCCACAATCACTAGATATCACTAGTAATAATCATCCCAGCAACCCCCATTCCCATCCATTCCCTGCGTTTGGCACCAGTAAGTAAACGGATGAAAGTGCCATTATGCTGGGAAAGTTATGATAAATCGACAAAATTTTGGATAATTACCATACAAACCCAATGTAAATTGAGGGATCCACACGAAATTGAAGGTTTGACCCGTAGCCATTTAAGGACAGATGTCTTGGTGGTCACACGGAGTTACGTCCACTTTTTTTCCTGAAGCCGGCGTACTACCACCCGGCGTACATGCATGTTGATATATGTTGATATAAGTGTCATTTTGCATAGTTTGGGTCATCCGCAAGTGAATGATACCCAGGATGTCTTCAATTGTGGGACGAGTTCATGCACTCGGGTTTCTTTGCGAAACGGACGACACTTCAATCCAACAGCGCATCCTGTTTTGTTCATTGTAAGTCCAGTATGATGCTTGTTGTTTCAATCCATTCTTGTTTGTTGTTTCAATCCATTCATTCCTTAACCGGGGTGTTATCTGTTGGCAGAATAATGTTGCAATATGTTGCAATATGTTGCAATATGTTGCATATGAGTGACTTAAATATGCCTCAATTGTCAAACAAAAATTTGAGGACACGTTCATTGTGTGTATGCGGATGCCACTTCGCCGGACCGAACTAAGTTGTACTCTGTAAGACTCTAAGATGTGTGTGTTTCTTTGCTACCCAAACTCTAAGTCTAATTCCGTATCCTTGTGTGAATCTGCTTGACAGACTCCTAAAGGGGCTGCTTTTGCAATCATGTTGAGGTTTATTGAATGCTAGCACCTCGCGACTGAAATCAAATAACAAGGCCAGGTAAGGGACGAAGATGGGGGAGCCACTCCCCACCACTACCCACCGTCAATGGGGCGCCAGGTAGACACCAGCAACATTTTCCAACCAAAAATGATGCAAAAAAAATGCTGGTGCTGGATTTTGTTTCCTTGGGTCCCTAAAACGTCCATAAAATTCCGGACCTTCATGGGACCATCATGGTACCCAAAAATGATGAGCTTTGGATCATCCCAAATAAGGAATTTTACATGGAAAATCAAAATCAATCAGATCAGATCATATTCTGACATCTTCAGTGTTGCTTTTCTGTTCGAGAATGGCTGCCTGATGTTGCCTGTGCGGACAAAACGGTCGAGTTTTTGCGGTCTTTGCGTCGAATGGCTGTTCCTTGCAACTGCTTTGGTAGGGGGGCCCGCGTGAATGGCAAGGTTGCCTCGCATCAAAAGAGGCCATGGGGGAGTCGAGACGCAGGGGGATTAGGAAAAACAAAATATAGCCTGGGGGTGAGGTGGGTGGTCCGGAATGGTGAACCACAGCTTTTTTGCATCCCAAAAACATCTACAAAGCGATGGATTTTGAATTTTGAACCCTCCGCCAGCGCAAGTTCGCAAAGAGGGGTCAAGAGTGGGCAAAGTGTTTTTGGGTGAGGTGATATACCATCAATGAGACCTCAAGAACAAGTAATTAGTTGTAATATCTTGTATAATTCTCAATGACTTTTTTGGTGATATATGGTGATATCAGTTGTCCAAATGACATACTGAGGGTATTGAGGAGGTCCATATCATCTGGATAACTCATATGTTATCATAAAATATCATAGATACCTGCGAAAACTTGATGGTTAAACTTACTTCAGAAAAAAAATGTCGGAGCTGATTCAAAAATCTCCAGATAGGTTTGCTTCGAAATGTTGCATGTATACCTTGAACATGGCCTCCACCCCCACTTTGGGATTGTTTATTCTTGGGTTTACCGAGTTACCTAAGACTACTTAAGATACTACCCTACCCTACCCTACCCTACCCCTACCCCCTGGTCATTTAACGTAGCTCTGAAAAATTGCCCGTTTATGACATGATTTTCCCATCACCTGTTTTGACTTCGGGGTTTTCCACGGATTTTCCGCTAGCCATGCAGATAGATATCCCACTGTTATCCAATTTTTAGCCCATGATCATCCCTATTAAAGCATATAAAGCCATATTAAACCACTATATTCCCAGTAAGATTCCTATGATGTAACTGGCCATTAAGATTATCCAAAAGTCGGGTCACTTCCACAAAGTCCCGTGCCATCTTTGCGCTGCTGTCCATCGTGGTTTCTTAGGCTTACGTGCGCGTCTTGGTCGAGGACATGCCCATTTTCCGTTGGCGCTGCGTTCAAGGTTGTTAAACCAGGTGGTTTCTGCTTCTCTCCGGCTTAAAGATGATAATGGATGAAACTTATGGTGTGTGTGTATATATATAGTTACATATATTATATAGTTCCATATAGATGTAACTTGATAAAAAAGAGATGAAACTTGAGCAGACCTTCGAGCTAGACGACCAGCGCAGATTTTCAGTGATCCGGAGATCGATGGAGGCGCTCTTTTGTGTATAGAACGTAGTACGTCTGCGACGTTTGCACACGGTACAGGCCACAGTTTTTCTATGTGTTTCGATGTTTCTCTATGTTTTTCTTTGTTTTTCCATGTTTTTCTATGTGTTTTCCCTACACTCCACTTTCAGCGCGCCCGCTTGAAGTTTGCCCACCACCTCCCAGGTTTTTTCGCTTCCGTTGAACCGCCTTTCCTCGCCACGGTATCCGTTTTTGGTGCGCTAGGTCGCCAGAAATTCGCCGTCGGACGCGATGTCAAACGATCCCTTCAGCTGCGCTGCTAACACTTTTTTAGACCATAGCTACAAATGTGGGGCCCCCTAGTCATAAATTGATTTATAAACCCCATTAACTATAGTTATAAGATGTTATAAGTACCATAAATCATAGTTATTGGAGTTACCAACTTAGCTATCGACTGGGGGCCCCACATTGTATGACTCTGTGGGTGAAACCTGTCAGCAACTTTGGCTGGATCTTGTGCTGGGAGTGATTGGTGGGGATCTGATGTCGAAAAATCTTGCACTAGCTGTTTCCTACACCTGGGTTCCCCAGATGACCCAAAAACCCAAAAAAAATCGGAGGCTTTGTCCCCATGGATGGTAGGTCACTGCTTGGAGGATCATTCCAGCGGCGAATGACCAAAATTGCAAGTCTTCTTTTTAGTGGGACTATGTCCATCTGTATATTATAAGAAATTATAACAATATGTGGCTTAGAACTATGATGACTGGCCAGTTCGAGTCGGGATAATCATCCAAGTAGTCCTTCACTATGTTTGTTGTGCATCAGGGGTGCTATCGTACTAAGCCGGTCTGAATGCTTGACAGCAGCTGTTTTCATGTCCACCATTGTCCCAAAATTTGGGGTGGTAGACACACGTGCACGTCCTATGAAATATCATCTGAATTAATAAACGGTTTTGTTTTCATGGGCGATCTGAGATACCTCTCTCAAAAGTTTAGATGTTCGATGATTTGTATGTTATCTGCCAAAATATTGTTGGCTAGCATGTGATCTTCAGAATATAGTATTCAGATTTTAGATCTCCATTTTAGATAAAGTTTATGGAGTTTATATGAGTTTATATATCTAAGTTCCAAGTTTATATAGATAGTTGTGGTAGATATCTCTAGCAGATACCTCTCAAAAAGGACTGTGGTAGATCATCAAAAAAATCCTCCAGATGCCAAAAACCTTGCTTCCATCGGTCAACGATTCACCCAGATTTGCTGCATCAAAGATCTTCGCGGAATAGGGAGGTCTGTGTCCATTTATCTGGATAAATTATAGGAATGCTATAAACACCTTATGGGGGATATCACCAAACATAGAACCATCAACACTAGGGATTTAAAAAAAAAAAATCCAACCTAAATGATAGTTGAGTTGTAATGATTCACTATAGATCATCAGCACTGCTGGATAACTTCACCAATACTTCACCAAGTTCCAAAAGTTCCGGATCCGTTTACAGTAGGGATAGATCCATCCAATTCCCATTATGAAATTTATCCAGATCTGATATCCTATTCTATCCCCAACAATGTTGCCACCATTGTTGCTGGTCAAATCACCATGGACCTATTGGTGATTTCTCACCATTTTCTCTTCATTAAACCACGACTTTTTCTGTTCAGACCACCATGTTTCTTGGCTTTTTCTTGGTAACAACCATTCGCTTGGTGAAATCATCAAGAAATCGCCGTTGAAAGATGTGAACAGAGGGCCCCATTGGCTCAACCGGCCGGCTCAAGGCGTATGATCCTGTCGCCGAACAGGGGGAAATCTCCGGGTGTTTTTTTCAGATGGTTCAACCAGCAAACATAGGGGTTAACCATGGGTTCACATGGGTTCACCATGAGTTAACCATGAGTTAACCATGAGTTAACCATGAGTTAACCATGAGTTAACCATGAGTTAACCATGAGTTAGGAGGGGTTAACCCTGGCTTCACTAAAAAGAACATCACTGGTTGGTTGGTTGGTTGGTTGAGCCACCCCTCTGAAAAATATAACTTCGTCAGTTGGGAGGATGACATTCCCAAGATATGGAAAAATAAAAAATGGTCGAAACCACCAACCAGATCATCATCAGCGTTTCCTTTGTTTGGGGATGTCTGCCCCCATAAAAAAAAAAACAAGGTTACCCTGTGTCGACATGTTCCTCAGCTTTAATGGAAGAATCAGCCTGTGTTTGCCATTGCAAGAAGGGGCACCCCAGTTCTGGCTTATGTTTCCCCATCTAAGTATCGACGTACCATCTCACTATAGGTGTGTTGCAATCATGTTAAAAAGCAAGAACTTGCCCTCCAGTAATCAAACATGGTGTCCTCTCAAATCCACCATTGATAGATGGTGTTCCTACTCAAAAGAAACATTCCACATATCAAAACTAGTGGTTTTCGGAGGGACATCAGTTTTTTTTATAGGAAAAGAACAAGACCCGTCCATCTCGTCGTTCAGAGTTTTGTGCTCCCACGTCCCTTTTGAGTTGGTCCATTTTTTGGAGAGGGAAAACTGGGGCATGTCACAAAGAAACGTACGAATATCAGAAAAATGAGTCATGGTTAATGGTTCTGGTTATGGTAAATAATGGTGAATGATGGTTAACATTGGTTAATAATGGTGATGAATGATGATTAATGTTGATATATACCCTCTGGTAAATATACAGAAAGCTATGGAAATCACAATCTTTAATAGGTAAATCAACTATTTCTATGGGCCATTCTCAATAGCGAACTGTTAAATTACCAGAGGGTAATGATCATCATCCTACACAGGGATGGAGAATAAAATAGATTGATATAGATTGAACGCAACAACTGAGGACGTGTTTGGAAGGAAAAAATGGGCATGTTCCCGACACAATTTCCGATGGTTTGCAGTGAACCCTCAAGAACCATTGGCGGGGACATAAGCTTCCCTGCCATGTGTGCGCTGGATCAAGCGAGGCTGAGATCAACTTTTTCTGGTATCAAATCCATGATCCAATACATGATTCAGTCACAAGCCGGTGCTTCCCAGTTATGCTCGTTGATGATGGTGTTTTCTTAATCAACCTAAATCAAGCTATCTAGTTCGAGATATCTACAAGGTGGTGCCCCCCCCCAGTCATAAGTTGGTTTATAATCCCCATTAACTATAGATATAACCCCCATAAACCCTAGCTATTGGACTTATAAACCAACTTAGCTAACTATGGGGCACCACCTTGTAGCACAAACCATACATGAGGCATCTAAACCATGCCAACGATCTGCACCGCCTGTACTTGGCGTCTGCCAGCAAGGGGGAAGATGTGGAAAACCAACTGGGATCCAGAGACAGTGGCACCTCCGGCATTGCTCCAAGCACCCCGGCTAGCTGGAACAGTTGAAAATGTTGGGTACATATCGAGGTCAACTGACCATACCAATGTTTGCCCCCAATGGCCATCATTTACCATGGATTCGAGAACTGGAGAAATCCGGAATGGGAAATGATGTTTTTTTACCGAGTGATGTTTTATACCATGTGAGGCATTCCAACTGATGTAATTCTCATTGACCATCATTTACCATCCAATTTTTTGGAATGCTAGTCATGGATTCCCATCCAAAAAGTTATAAAAATTCATTTCCCTGAAATATCTCATAAAAACCATGGATAAGAAATGATGGAAAAAAAAAAAACATCCAATGGCCATACCAATACCATAAAATCTATCACTTTTTGGATGGGAAATGATGGTCCGGATCATCCCCTTGGGATGGGATGTAACCAAAACCGACCAGCAATCATCACTAACTAATAGACCATTAGATCATTACAGTATACACTATATTCTATACAGTGTATATATATACTGTATATATATGTATAAACATGTATATACTATATACATGATTATATATATATCTGGTTGGTGGTATACCTACCCCTCTGAAAAATATGACTTCGTCAGTTGGGAGGATGACATTCCATATATATATGGAAAAATAATCCATTCATGTTCCAAACCACCAACCAGATATAATATATATATAGAACAATTATGTTTGGACATCTTTTTGAAGCATTGCTCCTCCAACAGCTGATTCGTCAATGTTTCATCTTTCCGAGCTTAGTCACCAACCTGGAGACATGGGCGTCCCATTTCTGTTATGGCCACGTTGATGGGAAAACGAACATATGCAAACGTGAGGATAAACGTTTATGCATTCCTGCGTTCCAAAAACTTGCCAAAAACTGAGACCCCAAAATCTTCTTTTCTGAGTTTATCCATGGTTTTAGATCTTGCAATTGATTGCAATTTTTCACATACTCATATCCACATATCCATCATTGGCATGGTGACCATGATCTGAACTACATACACCATGTGAATATCCCCGAGCCATGGAGGTTTAAAAGATCATTGAACTCAATGGTGAATTTTCCAGCCATGTTTGATGACACCGGAAAGTAGCTGTTTTTGTTCATTTTCCCATGACTAAACCAGCTGTTTCTTTCATTTTCCCATGGATTTTCCAGCTGTTTCTTGGATTTTCCCATTGACACAACATGTCTTGACCCATCAAGGACTGCACAAAGGTGCCAGTCACCGGGGTCAACGTGCGATCCACTGGTTTCGTGATCAAAACATGGTCCCACCGGGGTGGATGTCCCATCATTCGGGATGCGTTATGAATGTGGGTAAAAGAACGTCATAAACCACCTACGACTGGAAATGGTAAACATATATACCTTCTATAAAAATGGTGATGACTGGGGGATGGTTTATTATGGTAACCATGGCATTGTTTTACCCACATTTGAGTGTGTTTTTTTTGACACCTATCAATGCCATGATGGCAATTTTCTTTGATGGGAACATAACTGGAAACCAATGTAACTTGACCATGGCGAAGATGACGGATGTCCTGTTGGTACATGCAGGTTTCTAAGACAGAAAGGAATTTCAAGGTACCCCCCCTAAGGATACAATTCACCTAGTGAACTATGCACCAACTTAGCTAAGTATGGAGTGTCTGTCAAAATGTTCGAACTTCGATCTTTAGCTGTCGGGAAATACTCTTGCTGTAAGCTTTCCCAGAACTTGCATGGCCAAGAAATTCTTTTCAGCAACACATTTTCAGAGTGGCCATGTCCAACATTGGAACCAGCATTTAACTCATGTTCTTTTACCAAGAAAAATAGCGTACGGGGGGTGGCCTAGTTATGTTTGTTAGTTAACAAACCCCATCAACTATATTTACTCTAAGTATATATCATCTGGTTATTTAACATAGCTATGGAAAATCCATTATAAATGGAGGTTTCTAGCTGGGAAAATCATCTTCTATGGGCCATGGCGTCCAGTTCGCAAACTGTAACAAATTACCAGAGGGTATCATAAATAACCATTAACTATAGATATAACCCCCATAAACCCAACAGTTATCCTACTGAACTACAGTAGACCCACCAACCCTTCCTGGATTCCTCTGCCTGCACGTAGCCTAATCTGTCGGCCACATTGTCCACAACCTGGAGGAAAGATATGGAGATTTTTGTCTGAACTAAATGGCCAGTTACATCGGAATCTTAATGGGAATATAGTGGTTTAATATGGTTTTATATGGTTTAATAGGGATGATCATGGGCTAAAAATTGGATGGGATAATCATGGGAGATGTTTCGCGATCTATCCTCCGGTGTCATCAGCTCCATGGCGTGTTTTTTCCCGTGGATTTCCCATCGCCCGCCACGAAAAGGAAAAACCCTACGTGGATCACCGGGAGATCCGATCAACTCACCAAGCGAAGTGAACCGGAGCGGAGCGGTCAAGAACTTGCGATGGTTTTCATCAATGGCCCATTTACCATCTGCTTATGACTAACAGTTTGCCATGGAAAGATCCACCATTTTTAAGAACGGTAAACCATCGAACTAAATGGGCCATGTTCCATGGCTATGTTAAATTACCAGAGGGTAGTTCAATAGTTTACCTATGATCTATGAATCATGGTAATTTATGTGATTTTCCACATGTTAAAAATTATATACAGTAGCAGAGGGTATATATGTACCAAAATGAGCAGATAGATTCTGCTCGGCGTAATGTGCTCAAATAAACCTGTTTTGGGGGAAGTGATTTCCAATATTCCAGCATACTCCAGCCTTCTTCGTGCTCTTTGAATCCCCATGTTTTAATGGTTGAATCCCTATTTGGTCCAATCGCCATGGTCCAATGTTGCTGAAAAATCACTTGAATCCGAAGTTTTATCATCTGTTATCATGTCTTATGAGTCTTATCCCCATGTTGATCTTGAAATCCTTCATCATCGATATCATCGTTATCATTGTTATCATCTATCTTTGAATCCCCAAATTGGTTGTCTCCCCACAAGGTTTGGTATCCGCGTCCCTGGGGATTTGTTTCACATCACCCCCAAGTAACTATCTCTTCGAGATTATAATAAATTGTCTCCCGCATAGTTGCTGATGTTCAAATTAGGACATTTACCAGCCCCTGACATATAACTTGTGTGCCACCGGTATCATATTGCCAATGTCAACACAGTGAAGTCCAACTGTTGCTTCGTTGATGGTTATCTCCCCATCTGTTAGTTTGATTAGTTACACCATACACCATAGTAAAACACCAATAGTTATATACATACCCATTGTTATATAACTATCCATGGTTTTATAAGTAAATATATATATATATACATATATGGATAAATCATAATATTTAGATATATATATATATGGTGGTAATATGGTGGTATATAATGGATTATAATTATAATGGTGTGTGTATATATATATATTAGGATGTTACTTTAACACGTTTTCTTTATCCATTTTTGTTCCCTTAATTTTCCATTATTGTTCCATTACGGTCCCCTTAACTTTCCAATACTGTTCCCTTAACTCAGGGATTGGTAAATGTCCCATTTTGGGGCTATTGGACATCACCTTTGAATGGCAATTATAGATGAGATACCTCATGGTTGGGTGATGTTCAGTGGTGGCATTTAATGACCCATGTAACTTTCCAGTACTGTTCTTATCCAACAATAGTTCTGATTCCTCCAGCGCCTGAGACTCTTGACGCCCGCTGCGAACTTGCCCGGCGAAGACAATTTTCATGGGGCCTCAACGGCGCTTTGCGGCGCTAAACAAAGGGGAGTGCACCGCTTCGGAACATGGGGATGTAAAGAGCCAACGGCTGTTTCATATAAAACCTAGGGATAACTATTATATAACCTATGGCACAGTGTTTCAATGTTTCACCTGAATTGTGTTTTCATAAATCCCAGTTATTGAAGGACCAAATTGGGGTGGATGTCACCAACAAAATACGGGGATTCAACCAGGAAAATAAGGACTTTTGGAACCAAAGAGTCAAAACTGGGATTGATACAGCAAGAAACTAGGACTGTGGGATATATGGGTCAACCAACAAAATTGGGATTTAACAAAGCAACAAAACCATGGCGATTTGACAACAAAACATGGGGATTCAGCAAATAAAAAAATCAGCCAATCTGGTGATCTTGGAGGTGTCTTAAAGTGGTGAACCCTGAATCATTCATTTCCCCATCTAAACATTATAATTTGGATTATTGGGTGTCACATCGGCGGGCCTCCAGTGAGGAGCCAAATCAATATATTATGCAACATGCCCTTTAGGGGCTCAAAAGGGGCTAAAACGGATGATTTTGAAAGATTTTGTGGGCCCACCCCTACTCCATCCCCATCCGTGAATCGCAGGTATGACCTGCCCGAAAGTTACTATGAAACCATATCGATTCTAGGCTTCAGCATCAGAAAGAAAAAATAATCGTTTGACCAGCTAAACTCGTGGAAGTTTTGAAGACCGAAAACCTGAACTTTGTGAAGTGATCGTAAATTTATCAAATGTCGGCGCGGCAACCACGTGTAACCCAAAAAAAGTCTCGAAATTGAGTGACTTGGATTTGCTTTAAGGAACCTTAAAAATATATATATATTCCCTAAGCAGTGGATTTCCCATTGGAAAAATATTTGTTTTCTTCGAGTGATCCCCACCCTTACACACTATTCTGACATAGTTTCTGACATAGCATCTGAAAATATTTATGGCATAAATATTCTGACATTCTTTCTGGCATATCCTCTGCCATTCTATCTGGCATCTATTCTGACATTTTTTCTAGCATTCTATCTGACATCTATTCTGACATCCTCGCACCTATTCTGACATCATGTCTGACACCTATTCTGACATTCTTTCCGGAATATATTATCTGGCATCTACTCGGGCACTCATTCTGGCATCCATTCTGGCATTCATTCTGGCATCTACCTACTTTGATAGAACAACCTTTACCCTCCGCACTACATGAAGTTCATTGAACTTCCGCGTGCATGATGCTTTGCGGCCCGATCCTCTGTCAACATACCTCCGAGAGCTGGTCCCCACCGGCGCTCAAAGTCCAGCTTTGTGTCTTGTCTTGCGGCTACCGTAACACAGGCCTATGACTCAAAACAGAGAACAAAGGGGCCCTAGGAAGTTGCATATATTCAAATGTCTATGCAGTATTCAAGACAAGTTTGGGGCGCCAAAAACCAAGTGCATCGCAGACAGCGGACCGGACCAGGAATCGAAGAGTCCGGAACCGAACAGGCGAAGGCGAAGGAGATGGCACAGGTCCTGCGCGGCACAGCTCCAATCTTTTTTTGGGGGGGGGGCTTTGGGCGAGGACTTCATCCGCTTATCATCAATTGACTTTTTATGCGGGATAATATATTTTCGGTCGTTCATAAGCGAAAGCCCCGCTTTAACCACGGTTCCCCGCCCTGCGGTAGCCAAAGATGACCATGGAAAAGTTCTTGATGGAAGTTGCATTGGCATTGTTAGATAATCACTAATCTTCTCCATGCGTGGTTTTAGGAAGGTGGAACTTTTCCCGTTGTCATCCTTGACTTCCGCAAGGCATCTCGGCGACTTCGCCGTGCTCATAGTCTCCTTTTTTTCCGCGCTCGCTCTTCTCGTCTTACTTCTTGCGCCTGGCGCCCCCCTCCCACTGGACGGCTTTGTGCTCGTCCGGTGGGAGGGTGGCCTGTGTGGCGACTTCTGTGCTTCCTTCGGCGGGGCGTTTTGGTTGGACCCCTTTTTTTCCAAGAAGTTCTGCAGGGCGGTATGGTATCTCAAAGTTTTGTAGAAATTTCCATCCGGTACCATTACAAGATGTATATGCGTCCATTCGTGTAAGGACACATTCTCTCTCCGCTCTCTCTCTCTCTCTCTATATCTTCATCATCTTTAGATCAGCGCATAGTATCACACATCTGCTCTGGGATTGTATCGAAACTATGTCCTGCATAGCGATGGGCTCTTTGACTTCAGAGGTCTACGTGGTGCCATGATGGTGCTGAGGTAGTGGAATTCTTATTCGTGGGCTGGTAGTATCAGATCTGTTTATTTAGACCTCTGAAGATCTTAGGGTTTCTTTCTATATATATATATATATATATGTATATATATATATATATATGTATACACGTTTCAATTTAATTACGTAGACAGATGGAACAATAAAACATAGAATGCCAAATATATCGATGCTACAGGTGCATATACGCGCAGATGCACACACACAAACAGATAATACACAGATACACCCAGATACCCCACACCGGTTCCCAAAGCCTTCCTGCGCTGTTCAGTGGCCACCTGACGGGGAACCGTGCGGGAATGTGCCATGTGCAGAGGTCAGTGGATGGGAATTGGGGACGTCGCAATTTAGCGATGTGGAATGGCCATTACCTTTCGATCTGTCATGGTGTACAGTCGATTTTTTGGGGGGTCCAGGATGTAAAGACTGGGCTATTGATATTAACTAGTCTTGCCAAATATGAATCTCGAATGAACCGTCTTGAACTTGCACACCAATGCTTAATGGTTTGAAACACCTTGCTTGCATTTCGCAAGTTGGATATGTCTCGTTGCAAGGAAGATGCAAGTTACCTTTGCGTTGTGAAGCACGCTGCGCGGCACGGTTTGAAGAAAAATCTTCGACAATACGCTCCACGTTTACTTGCCCTCGGCACAGCTCAGGCACCTTGAATTGGCTGCACGATCGGCGGCAAATATGCTGGTTGGCCCATGATGACCTTTGCAGGTCGTTGCATGTGGTCACCCTGGGCTTCTCTTTTGCTGACGCTAATGAGATTGGCCTCTTTTTACCCATCTTTGAGCCGGGTGCAGGTTGGAGTTAACACACAGTTCGCCCTTCGGTGGCTCCCCAATTTTGCCTTCGATCCACCAACCGAGCGAAAAGTGCAGGCTGGCTCAAACCAAAGCAGAAACAATTAAAATGCGGTCAATCAATAGTTTTTTGGTTTAAAATCTGAAGTTCATTGGATTCATAAATTCATATGCAGTACCCTGCTTTTCCTCTTACTGCTCAAGATTGGGCACCTACAGAAGGAAATTTGCAAAGGGCTTTGGCAAATTGGGCAGCAAGATCCTGGCCGCCTATGGTCGCACATCAAAGACAAGGCCAATGTTTATAATGTTTGATCAGCTATCTCACGATCATCAATTTGCAAATATATATCATCCACCAAAGTTGGGAAAACCCAGATCCATTGCCCACTGAGATCTGGTACTCGCAGTTGAGGTCCAGCAGTGCCCGAGGAGAAGAAGGAAGAGTGAAAGAGAAGGCAACTCCAATAAAATCTAGCATCTAGAGACCCTCACCTGGCAGGTGGGGAAAAAACATCTTCAGCAAATCCAGGGCAAGTGAAAGAGAAACCCAAAGATGCACCCCTCTGAAAGTTCTCGATATGCAAATGTAAATCTAGAAAGTGGGCGAAAAAGTCAGTAAAAAGATGGTGATACTACTTGGTGACTTGGTGGTTAAAAAAAACAGGTCATTGGTAGGTTTCACCCCAGGTACATCACCTTTAAGGCGCCTGGAAATGGCGACCATCCCGGTCAAGTTAAACTGGGTCCCTGGAAATGGAAAATCCAAACCATGGCTGATTTTCCCGGTCACTAAACCTCCAGTTCGGAGATTTTCCAGCCACGTTTGACACCACTGGGGGGTCATCCCGTCATGTTTGTTGGTTCCCGCAGCTCTCCAGCCCCAGGGCCCACTGAATAGACTGGATAGGCTTAAAGATGTGGCAAAGCCAACGATAAATCTATATAAATCTCAATCCTTTCAACAGGCTTGCTCCCCACACAATACTGTTGGGGGATATTGCTTGAAGAGGTTTTACATCACCCATTTCCTTCTGGCTATCACTTAGGTCCAGTCTGCCGGGTCGACGCTGTCGGCGGCACAGCTCCTGTGAGAAAAACCAACATTGATGAAAATAACCATAGTTGGGCAAAACACGAAAAACTTGGTTGATTAAACAGTGATGATTCAGCCATCTGACTATAGTTTTTCTTGGTGATAAGTTGGAGTTTTGGTGACATAGATTCTGGTTGATTAAACCGCCATCAACACCTAACGCGGGTTACTAGGCCCCAATTCTTGGGCGGCTTACCTTTGAAACTTTGGCACCCGTGAAATTGGCCATGATAGTGTGTTGATCAGCCGCACTTGGCTTCAAAAAATAACTTGGGTGTATGCAAAATTTAGCCAAATATGATGATTCTTATCATCGCAATAAACCGTAGTTATGATAGCTGGTTGATGTTTCCCCGTATAAGTATATACCAACCCTGAAAAAAAGATGCTAAATTGGTGTCCCGCTATTTTTGCAGGCTTGTACGTTTCTATTTTTTGGACGTTGCTGTAGATCTATCCAGCTGTCTAATCCAACACTTAGATACACTTATCACATTCAAATATATCCAACGGAACTGTTGTGAAAATAATGAAAAAGTGAAATCCCATGAAAATAGTGATTCAAATTGCTGTTCGGTATCGTATTTGTTGAGGCTGTCTCCTTTCGAAAAAGCATGACGATTTGAGGACGAGTGAGGTGTAAATTCACCAAGCCGCCCTGTATCATTTAGCTTGGTTTATGTGTCTCATACCATAAGATACCACTTGGATACATCATTTAGCTTGGTTTATGTATCTTATGGTATCATCTTAGCTAGGTATCATATTGGCTTAGTTTCAGATGATAGCCACAGAAAGTAGCTGATGTCATCATGAATGGGATTGGAAACACCAGTGACTGGTGTTTTTGTTGGTGAAAGGTTTATTGCTTACCACACATCAAAACAGATAACGTCCACCTCAACTAAACGCTTGAGCGATTCAGCCCGCGAAAAAAGAAGAAAAAAAAACATACATGACGTATCCCTGAACAAAGTTGCTGAAGACCTGTCAGTGCAGACAAACAGGACGTATCATAAGACTTGTGTGTATATATATATATACCATCTGGTTATTTAACATAGCCATGGAAAATCCCTTATAAATGGAGGTTTTAATGGGAAAATCATCTATAGATGGGCCATTTTCCATGGCTATGTTAAATAACCAGAGGGTATATATACTGGTTGGTGGTATACCTACCCCTCTGAAAAATATGACTTCGTCAGTTGGGATGATGACATTCCCAATATGATGGGAAAAATTATCCAAATGTTCCAAACCACCAACCAGTATATGATATTTCGACTTATGCAACATACAGCAACACTTCGCGACGCTACCTTTTTGGGGCTACTACCTATTGAAAAAAAACATGCCTGGGGGGCACCACCTTGTGAAATCCAGTCGTAAGTAACGTTTGTTCATTGCTCCAATGGCCAACCTGGACCGGGGTTAGAAGAATTCTGCTTTCATCTGTGGCTCCTCTTTTTGCTAAAGAATGAAGGAATCAAAGCGTAACCAACAAAGGCGAGTTAGGTATATATGGGGGGTTCCCAAAATGGGGGGAACCCCTAAATCATCCAAAATTAGACTGTTTTAACTATATATATATATGTATATGTATATGTATATGTATATGTCATATCATATCATATCATATCACATCATATCATATCAAATATATATTGAGCATACAGTATGAGTATCGAAACCTATGGTTTTGGATCCATTTCAAGAAAGTCCCTGGTTTCCAAGGATTTTTATTGCATTTTGGACTCGTTGGACCCGAAAAAAATTTCATGATATGTCTTGGGTATGTGATAGGTATACGGTGATAGGTTGACCCAATGGGGATACTTGGTGGCTCACTACCCACGGCTCGTAAATGGGTTGTAACCCCAGTGATTTACATGGGATAAGTAGGCTTAATTCACTTTTTTGATTGGGGTTATAACTCACTTACGAGCCGTGGGATGAACCACCAAGTAAGGACACGGCCCCTGAGAGTGATTCAAATTGACCATTGACCGACCACACAGATGACTATATCATGCTATATTGTCATACAAAGCTGAAGAATTGTACGGAACGGTTTGACCCAATCATCTATTGTCACCCCAAAAAAATGATGGAAATGTAAATCATGGTAAATCCCTACTAATTTGATGCTGATGTACTTTTCTATTTCTTGTTTGGGGTTTACTGTTGTGAAAGGAGGTGCACAGCCCTTAAGGTGCACGCGTCACATGAGTAGAGGCAGCCTTGACTAGTGGCTGTGCTCACTTGTGTGGGTGGGTAGAGAAAACCTAAACGTAGGTTATGAGCCCAACGCTCACGCCAGTCAAGGCAATGATAGGTCCTTGATGGCCCCTGTGCATCGTGGAATGTCCTTGGCGTGGTGTCGAGCACGGGCGCGCCTGAACCTTGGTAAAGCCAGAAGCCTTGGCTAACGCCAGGTGGAGGGCTGAACTGAGGGGAAGGTTTGCGTAGCCGGCCCACCACCGGGGATTGGAGACGTCGGGCTTTGCAGCCGGGGATAAAAAGAGATTCTCCACACAAGAACCTGCAAGTTGCCGCAGCCCGGGGAGCAGAAAAGAAATAAGCGACCTTGGCAAAGGAACATAGCTGTGGCCTTATCTCTAGTGCAACCTGCTGTCCAGGTGAGGTCAGCAGGTTGGGGGGAGTGTGAAAGGAGGTGCACAGCCCTTAAGGTGCACGCGTCACATGAGTAGAGGCAGCCTTGACTAGTGGCTGTGCTCACTTGTGTGGGTGGGTAGAGAAAACCTAAACGTAACTGTAAACAGCAACAAACAATGGCAAATCATGCTCCGCAAATGCCCCCTGGAACTACCGCTATTTGAGTTGCGACATTCCCCTGATCTACCAAGGACCCAAAAAAAACATTTCACCAAGCAGTTTCTGACCAAAAACCACGTGTTGAAGCGTTGATATGGGAAAAATTGGGAAAACTTGGAGTGGTTCAAGGGAAATGTTACCCATCTGCTTATGACTAACATAGCCATGGAAAGATCCACCAATCTTAATAAATAAACCATCTATAAATGGGCCATGGCTTCCATGGCGATGTTTAATAACCAGCGGGTAGTTCAATAATTTACCTATGATCTATGAATCATGGTGATTTATGTGATTTTCCACATGTTAAAAATTATATACATCAGAGGGTATATATGTACCCTCTGGTAATTTAACATAGCTATTGAAAATGGTGATTTATAGTGGATTTTCCCATTGAAAATAGTGATTTTCCATAGCTATGTTAGTTTACCAGAGGGTACCAAAATGAGCGTTTCGGGAAAAAACAACGAGTTTTCCAGGGAGCGTTTCCTTCAGATTCGTCCGACTCCCACCGGTCCTGTAAAGTCTGCATGAACTCCGTCTGCAGCTTGCCGTTCCAGACCTGAATCGTCTCGATCGTCGCCCGTTGCCACATGTTGCCCACTTACATCCACTGGGGTTCAAAAAATAGTATATAAATTATATATAAACCTTAGTAAAATTAGTAAACAACCAACTTTTTGTTCGCGTTACCCGCTGACTTGACCAAGACCTCTTTCTCCGGTCCCTTTGTCCGAAGTCGTCCGCTGAGTTTTCGCGGCTTGTGAGACATCTGCAAGGCTGGCCCTTGGCATTGCTTTGCAGACGGATGCCAACAGCTGTCCATCAGGCAAGACTATTCGAAGACTGTGTCAGTGGAATGTTCAATTCAAGCGCAACACGCTTGTGGGTATTCCAAGCAAGATCATATGAGCCATGGTCAATACTCACTATATGGTTGATGGTCATCCCATCCACAATAAGGATCCTTATAATGGTTATTATAAATCCCTATGAACCATTGGATGACTAGCCCCTATTAATGGTTATTAACCATGAGTATTGACCACAGCTCATATGGATGTGCATTGAAGCGCAACACTTCTTCCCCAGCCAGAGCAAACCAGCAGCATGGCATCATCTTGACAAACAAACTCTGCTTGCAACACAACGTCCCTACTACATGGCACATCTGCAACGTACCAAGTCCCTGCTTCAGGAGGTTCAATGTCGCATTCTCCATAATCATCCGTTCCGCAACCCACAACACTACCATCACTTCTAAGAAGTATTATAGTGATGGAAGCCTGCAGAAACTTGGCTGTATGACATTCCGCCATCTAGAGGTGGAATGTCGCATTTTCCAGCTGCATTCTCTCCGCAAGCCACAGCACGACCATCACTTCTGAGAAGGACTGTGTGAGTAAACGCTCCAGAGATTTGTGTGTATGACACTCCGCCATCCAGACGTGGAATGCTGCACATTCCAAGATCATTCGCTCCGAAAGCCACAGCACGACCATCGCTTCTCAAAAGGACTGTGTGATCTTGCCCTGCAGAAACTTGGGTATAAAATGGTATAAAATACTCCGTCATCAAGAGGTGGAATGTTGCATTGTCTACCAGTATTGTCCCCACAAGCCACAGCAGAAGCCATCACTTCTGAGAAGTACTTTGTGCTCCAGGGCTGCAGAGAATGTCGCATTGCCCAAGATCATTCTCTCCGAAGGCCACGGCAATACCATCGCTTCTTAGAAGTACCGTGTGATGGAACCCTGCAGAAACCATGGGCAAAATGGAGATCAAATTGGAGATTCGGCGTGAGACGAGAGATTGAACCAGAATTCTGACCATTGACCCCAGCCTTTTATGTCCTGTTTCCATCTTCATCGTCAATCTTGGAGAGCCTGTAAGACTTAAACGGTGAATTACTAAATCTGAAAAATTGCGCATGGTCTCTTCACTCAGGTTGTTTTCGGTAAAAGCTGAAATTTTACCCATTAACATCCATCATCATCCATCAGTTTTTCGCATGTCTTCACTGTCTTCACTCCTCGAACTGGATGGTCATTTCCCCCACGGCCAACCCTCAACCAGATGGACCGAAAGAACCCCCCTATGCTATTCAAATGATATTCCCGTTCTTCCGCTCAAATTCCCAGTGTGATGATCATTGCTGTTGTACTATGATCATTATATGATCATTATATATGCTTGTTTACACAAACCTATGCCTATGTTTGTATTCCCAATGCTCAGGCTGTGTTCAGGGCTTCAGCTACTCCACCATTCATCACCCAGGGAAATCCCGATACCCTCCTGCGAACACTTACTCAAAGATGTGGAAAAGCCACTAGTTAAATGTATATACTTACCCTCTGGTAATTTAACATAGCTATTGAAAATGGTCATTTATAGTGGATTTTCCCATTAAAAATGCTGATGTTCCATAATATGTTAGTTTACCAGAGGGTAGATGGGCCATAAAATCAGTTAACTAGTTCGGTTTCCGGTGTGATCATCCATGATTTAGCCATGCTTTGCACTCACGACTTCACCAAATCCCAAGGCCCAACCTAACATGAAATCCCATGAACTGCTTCGATATATGGAGGTTTCGTAAAATAGACCCCTAGTCATCATCCATGTTTTTTTTTTGGATTTTCCCTGAAAAAAAAAAACATCCATTTGGGGATACTCCCATGACTATGGAAACCCTCTTGGATCTACAAATAAACTGCTCTTCAAAGCCACATCGAACACGCGCCAGGGAACATGGAACAGCAAATCGCCGCAGAACACCAGGTCGAAGCCTCCTTGCAGCTCCTGAATACCAGCAGGTTCATGGCAAATCCGTGAACTAAATAGAGGTTTACACCTGGGAAAATCATCTATATCTATGAATATGGGATAATATATGTATGTATATACTGCATATGATATAATATATATATATATACATTATAATTATATATATACATGTGGGAACATACTGGGAAGCAAAAATAGGAAGACCTCGGAATGATAATAGCAATCGTGATAATACGAAAATAACCATTTGGGACTGCCGACAAAAAAATATGGGAATTATATGATCGAATGTAGTGTTTTCGGAAATCGGCCATCCCCACTACTTCGGAAATCCCCGAACTACGCTCTGGTAAACGTTCACATAACTATGGAAAGATCCAGCATTTTTAATGGGAAAATCCACTGTAAATGGCCATTTTCAATAGCTATGTTAAATTACCAGAGGGTAAATGGAGTTTTTAATGGGAGAATATGGGAAAATCATCTATGAAGAATCGCGATTTTCCAGCATGCCATGTTTGATTGCCGGAGGATACATACCTCAAACCATGGATCGAATTGGATCCAAAAAAAGGGAGAATAAATAGGTCGGTGTAGCCTATGGGATCAGTATAATCAAGAAAACGGGATTGAAGATATCTTAAGCTTTCGTGATAAGACGTAACATAACTGGTTAATGTGTGGTTAATATGTGGTTAATATACTGTTAATAATGGTTAATATACTGTTAATAATGGTTAATATATGGTTATTATATGGTTAATGATGGTTAATAATAACCTGGTTGGTGGTTTTTCGCCACCCCTCTGAAAAATGATGGAGTGAAAGTCAGTTGGGATGATTGTTCCCAATATGATGGAAAAATAAAAAATGTTCCGAACCACCAACCAAATATGGCATGATATGGCAATATACTTACAACTTACAATTTGATTCCACAAAAGCGGGACAGTTCAGAAATTAAGCCTCACGGGAGCTTCACCCGTCATTTCATTGGCGTTTAGCCATCAAAAATAGGGATTCAACCAACATGGGCAACATACTGGGCCGGGCGCACGTCGCAAAATAGTAAGAACTCGCACTCATAGTAGCAATAGTGATCATACAAATAACAATTAGGGAATGTAATTATGACTATACATAAATAGAAATCCTGATATAATTAATGTAGTTATATATAATCACTATAGCTACTATATATATATATATACTATACACATGATATCACTGGGAATGTCCAGGAGTGGTTTTCTGTACATATATATATATACATGTCCAATGCATAATATACTCCCCCAGGATATCCCACTACGGTTATATATATAATTATATATATATACTATGTATATGATTCTGATTCCAGTAGCGACATATATGATAATATGCTGGAAAGCTATATGCCAACCGTCAGAATCGTATTCAAAATTTACATCACCAACAATGATGAAAAAGAATATTGGAATTCAATCTACAATCCTGGGAATATACAGGGATAATGTGGGATACAATAGTATGGGAAAATGCTCTACACATATGGGGCTTCCCTAAGGGTTCAACATCTGTAGTGCACATGGCCAGTAAAACTCCCTGAGCCTACCATTCCCGCCAGAAAACCAGTGCAGCATGCTTGGAAATCTGAGATCTTCAAGAAAATCATGCTGGAGATTGACTCTGAAAATGGTGGATATCACATGATATCACCAAAATGGCTAGGAAAAATGATAACAAACTCTCAACATTTGGAAGTTTCCCACAAAGTCTTCAGACAAACCCACCCTTACTGAGTTACTGTCTGAGACCGTGATAGTCAGGGTCCCGAGACGCACCTGCCAGTCATTGGCATCCCAGTCCGTCGGCTTTTCAGTTCATATCAGTTCATGACAAGACAAGCGATTGAATCGATTGGGTCTGGAATTGTGGCGTTACAACTCATCAAAACTTACAACTCGGAGAGCGGGTCTCGCCACTCGATTCCCTGGAATGAGCAAGGGTGTAAGGATTGCCCGTGGGGAGTCATTCCAATTTTGGAACGGCGGAACGACTGCAAGACTTCCTCAAGAGTGGCCAAAATGCCCAAAACAACTTGTTGAACAACGTTCTGAAAAACTAAACCATCAATGTTCTGGCCAAAGCAGGTCTTTTCAGGGGCCTTCAAAACGACCCAGCCCCACGAAAGGAAGAACTCTTGCATCTTTCTGGGCAAATTCTTATTGTCAAATCAGACATAATCAGACGTACTGCAAAGAATTTTTGATGGTTCACCTGGTTCCCTATACTGACCATGGACCTCGTGACCTCGTGACACGAAAAAACTTACCCAGATCTTTAACAAATCCATAGACCAACTGACCAGCATCCCACATGCGCGGGTACGCTGCCCTTGGGCTTCCGCCACAGACCCGGTAAAAATTAAAGCCATATGGCTGACACCCCCTAGTTCAGGGGTGAATGCCATCTAGTTGGTGGTAAGGGGCAATTTGAGCAAAACAAACAATGTTTGTTCAATATGAATCTGACTTTATTTAATCACTTACTTTAATGACCTAACACTAAGTAGGCATAGCAATATCTTGAAACCACCAGCCAGTGTTGAAGTCTAGCGTGCATTTGCTCTTTTACATTGGTTCAACGTGAGGCTTCAAGATTCCAACAGCAGGCCACGTCAGACTTTCAACGTGGATTCCAGCTGAGAAATGGCGCTCCAAAATAAAGTTGTGCACTTGTAACCCCCCCACCACATGTTCAAGTTGACCATCACCAATATGGGTCATTTACCCTCTGGTAAACGTTCACATAACTATGGGAAATCACCATGTTTAATGGGAAAATCCACGATTTCTATGGCCATTTTCCATAGTTATGTTAGTTTACCAGAGGGTAATTCATATGGGTGACCCAAAATACTTTTGCAGTTTGAGAGCTGGAAGCCATGGCCCATGATGAACTGCCCATGATTAGCCCAGAAAAAATGGTGAGTTTCCATGGCAAACTGTTAAATAACCAAAGGGTACATCATGTGAAGTTGCTGCACTACAATCTTTGGACGCCCAGTGGTAGGGATTTAGGTTCCCAGCATATGTACCAGGGTGCCATAATCAAAACATCCAACATAAGGGGTAAGGTTCATGCAACCAATAAGGTCACTAGCAGGCATTAATTACTTCTATTGGGCAACGGTATAAACCCAAGAGGGAAAAATACAACCCCCGAATATGCATGAATATTTCCTTCGAGATTTATAAGTGTGTTGACTGTTGACCATGGCAGCCATGGCACAACAGAAAAACACACCTGGAATGTCGTCAAACAACACCTTGGATCCTAGGATCGAAGGGATCTTGGAATCTCTTGTCTCAACCCGGGGGATCCCGCAGTTCTTCACAAGTGGTGGATGACAAGAATGTCAGTTTCAACAGCTTCACCCACCGCATCACCAGGGATGACTTGGTGGAATTTTGCTGCCACCATTCAAAAAATCACGGCCACCCTGGCACTGTTCGGGATCACCGAACTACGCCGCGGCGGAACGACGCGCCGCCGTTTCAGAGGCCCACCTCCGGTTCCTCTTTGGCACCAATGGCCACACCGCTGGCCGCACCACTGGCCGCAGCGCTGGCCGCATTGGCTGCGGTTTCGTCCTGTTTGCGCCACTCCTCCGTCATCTTCTTCAGCTGTTTCTTGGCGCGGTGAATCATGCAGCCCACCTCGGGAGCACACTGGGCTGCGGAAAGCCTGTGTAGATAGAACTAGAGTTCCATGGATGATGTGTTTGGACCATATCATATAAAGTACATATATATATATACATAAATAATCATATATCTATATACACATTTATATATATATACATATATATATATACATATATATATATACATACATATATTAATATACATATATATATATACACATATGAATATACATAAATATATATATGAATATATATATACATATATATATATACATAAATATATATGAATATATATATATGTATGTATATGAACATATACATATATATATATATGAATAAATATATATATATAAATATATATATAAATAATCATATATATATATACACACGAACACCCACACACACACATATGTACACACATATATATATATACATAAATATATATATATATATATGAATATATATATATTTACATATATATACACATATTATATATATAGACGACTTCTCCCCCACGACTTCTCCCCCCTTGATGCCATGGCGCCAGGAGCATTCCGATGAGCCAGTAGAGTAGCCAGGCGAAGATCTCGATGGGCGTGGCCTGCGACTACTGCGACTACTGCGACTAGTGGAGGCCGTTGGGGATATCATCAACCAGGGTTGTTTAAATAAGTGGTTAATAATAATGGCTAAAGAAGTGGTTGTCATCCCTAATAAGTGGTTTCCACTGGCTAATAGTGGATATCAACAATGATCATCAACCACTGGCTAATAGTGGATATCATCCCTCCAGTGGTCATGGTTTGGGTAAATTAGTGGAGGTTAAACAACCCTGGCTGTGGAGGATATCTTCAACTAGTAGTCAACCAGGGTTGCTTTTGGTCCGGTAAATTACTGTAACAAAGGCCCTGGCAGTAAATTACTGGCTTGGAAGATGAGTGAAACCACGAAAGCAATTTGGTGATTTTCGATGAATAGTAATATTAGTATATATCTTAGTATGTTATTTTTTGAAGATATCATATATTGTAATATCCTACTCATATTTGACCAGGGTGATTTAACAAATCCAGTAAATCAGCTGATCAATCATATAACAGTGTATAAAGTATTCCAGTGCGACTGTGAATTATTCCCATGGTGAAGATATTACCAGTGAATTACCCTCCGGTAAATTAACAGTTCGACCCTGGCAGTCATCGGGCATGGAAGATGACGGAAACCACTCAAAATTGGTGATTTTCTGGGTCTATGGAATGGCAGTTTAATTGGACTCCAATGGGGAAATATGGGAATACAATGGGACATATATATATATATATAGTATCTATATCTATATCTATATATATATATATAGCTTACCCTTTGGATAATGACCATTGGATCTAGTGGGGTTTAGTCATAATGGATTTTCATGGGATGTTACTCATCAACTTGACCATCAAACAGAATTCGTCATTTCCCACTGGTAATCAAACATGGGAATGGAAAATCCCCTAGAAGTGGAGGTTTTAATGGGAAAAGCACATCAAGTATACTGGCTATCAACCATCGTTGTCCCTTAATACTGGTTAAATGGATTTCCCACAGATTGTGATCATCGCCAATTTATTGGATAGTATAGCATAGTATTAGTATAACCCATATCATCAAGCAACCATCACATATCAACTTTATCCCAACATATCCCACCAGGGGTGCAATGAACATTGCTCACATGGTACCCTGCAGTAAACTATCATAGGTGGTGACTTTCTGGTTCATGGGGATTTAACAACCAACCATGCGGACTTCATCGAAGGGATTTAGCCATCAACATGGGGATGGCTAATGGGATATAATGGTGATATTAAGGGGATTCACTGGGATATTATATATATATACTATGAGGGGACGTGGCGCAGCAGCTGTTTTGAATCAGTGAAAAGGGTCCACTTTCCGGGGCCGCAAGAAGCCATGCTAACCTCTTGCGCTCTGGCAGCGTGCCGCCTTTACAACGCTTATGTCAGGAAGCTGTTTTGCGTGCATCTTGGGAATTTGGGAGAAGTGTGTGGCATGCACTTGTTACCGTGCATCCCGTCTGCGCGCTTTGGAATATACTGCTATAGTATACGGCCAAAGCGCGAAAAGGGACGTAATCCCTTATTTACATGCGGGTTTGAAGGGCGTAATCGGGACGTACGAGGGGCGTAACCAGGACGTACGAGGGGCGTAACCACAGATGGGAGGGACGCAATCCCTTATTTACATGCGGGTTGGAGGGGCGTAACCGGGACGTACGAGGGGCGTAACCACAGATGGGAGGGACGCAATCCCTTATTTACATGCGGGTTGGAGGGGCGTAACCGGGACGTACGAGGGGCGTAACCACAGATGGGAGGGACGTAACCCCTTATTTACATGCGGGTTTGACGGGCGTAATCGTCAGGAGGTACGAGGGGCGTAATCACAGATGGGAGGGGCGTGATCCTTTATTTACATGCGGGTTTGAGGAGCAATAGTTTCGGGTAGCGTGGCTCCTTGGAGTTTGTCCACATGGGGTTCTACACCCCTTGCCTGTTTTCGAGCCACATGCCTTCCCAAACATAATCCGTTGCAATTGGTTTCCTCACAGTTCGGTAGTGGAGAATGCGTTTGGCTGTCAGTCGGCTTGTGCTCAAACGGCGCTGCCACCAGGGCCCGCTTTTGGGGCCGCATCCGCATATGAAAAATGCATTCTTGATGGTGGGCCCTCAATGTATATATTATGTTATTATATTATATTGTATTATATTATATATTATATTACATATTATATATATATATCATTATAATTATGTGTATATATACATATATAGATCAACCCCAAAATAGATGCCAAAGAGTTGGAAAGCTGCACAAATAGAGGTAGATGATAAGTTTCCTGAGTTCACAGAGGATCAACACGTTTCGTGTGTTTTGATGACGAGCGTCGAACCTCTCTCTACCCTTTCGTTGTGGGGGGAATCCCTGAGGCAACCATCCAAAAAATGTATAAAAATGTGTGGTAAAGCCGGAGAATAGGAACTTGTTTATACAGTATAGTCGAGGTTTCTATCATTGACGCTATTGAGCCCAACAATATCAATAGTCACCAGTCAAGCAACATTTTAAGCGATGTTCAACTTAATGCGGAATGTCCAAAGTGGTGATTCAATAATACCCGAGCTCAAAACCAGGGGCGAAATCAGCCAAAAAAAACGCAAAGAGCTCGGAGGTTCTGTCAGGTAATCGATGTCCACTATCAGGTTTGTTTACGAGAAGGTACAGTTACACTCTGATAATTTAACATAGCTATGGAAAATTATCATTTAAATAGGGAAACGCATAGATGGAAAATGTCCATAGCTATATTATATACATTACCGCACAGTAGGGGGTCAGCTACACCCAACTAACGTAGTCGGCTCAAACTCATCGGGACAGAAATCTCGTCAAAAACCATTGCTGGCAACGTAGTCGCCTCAAATGAAACGAGAAAGGTCGGATACATTCGGATACACTAAACCCATCTGAACCCCTTGGTTCTCCCAAAAAGGCTTTGTATATGTATATATCTTTATATATCTACATATATCCATCTTTATCCCATGATACATGGAAAAATAACATATATCTCCCAAGACGTTCAGATCGCCAAAAAATCTCAGCATTACCAGCACGTTTCGAACGGTTCCCACGGGTTCCCCGAGGGATCCGGGGCCTGATCCTGCCATCCAAAGAGGGCACGCATCAACACGAAGAAGCGGTTGGTCTTGTCATTGCAGCACTCCCTGAGCGATTTCAGCTGGGAAATGCTGGGAAATCCTAATAAGGGCACTATATGGGTTTGTCTGAAAATAGGGTATATTCCCAATTATAGCCATTTAATAGGGATAATGATCATTAACCATTGGGTTTAGGGGTACACTATTTTCAGACACACCCATATATGTAAAAGGGGTTGATTCGACTAGGGGAATCAACCCAAAAGTGACGGAAACTTTTCAGGTGAGTGAAGTACCATTTTTTTAAGCCAGATTCATAAATCTGCACTAAATAAATAGAGATCATATTTTTCTAGTCATGGAAAGCTGTCCTCCAACTGGTGGATGTGCGATTGCCATGTTTGATTACTAGGGGGTATCTCCCCCAAACCATGTCCTCAACTTCCAAGTCCCAGAAAACCCAACCGCGGGTAACGTTTGTTTCACCAGCCACTTTGCGGCCTTCGAAAACAACTCAGATCTAGCCTCTGGTCATTTGTTGCAGTTTGCGAACTTGAAGCCATGGCCCATTTAGTTCGTTGATTTACCTCTAGAAAAATGGTGATGTTCCAGTTCGCAAAGTGTTAGTAAAAACCAGAGGGTACTATATTAAATCAATCATTTTCGTAGGATTTTCCATCAAAAACCATCCAGCTACGGGGAAACTCCCCCCATATCTCCCCATAGTTTTCCCCACCTGGCATCCCAGACGTGGCGATTCTGCCAGGGCCGGTCCACCCGTGGACTCCACACGCCAAAGACGTCCAGTTCCTGGAGCTGGTGCATTGAAGCACTGAAGAAGCCCGCGGCGATGAACATCAGAAGGATGGCGGAGCCGCGCATGAACCAATCCACGCGCACCTGGTTTCCACTGGTTTCCAGGACTTAGGTTCTCGCTTTCCGAAAATCATGAGGATTATAAGCTACCTAAGTGGGATGGATCACCAGGTATAAGCACCTGGTGACACCAGGACTGGACCGATCCTGGAGAATCCATAGGTTTTATATGGATCCAGGCTGGACTGATCCATTGAATTCTTTCCTGGAAAGAAAGACATAGGAGATTTTTTTGGGGTTGATATATGGTTTTATCATATAGCTAAGCGAATTTCGAGGAAAAACCATGAGAGGATACCAGGGATACAGTACCAATGGATATTAGTATAGAATCTATAGTTAGGTGGCATGCTTGCATGTGAATCCCACTTAGGATCCGTGGTTTATAATCCATATATATATATATATGCTCTTTCTTATCCCATATCATCCAGAAGGGATATTCCATATATATATATAACTGGTGGTTTTTGATCCATTTACTCAGTGGGGTGCACAGCCAAGTAGCTGCTTGCGATTTGTTTACTGGGAAATCATGGGAGAATCAACTGCGTTATAGCATCCCCAAGTCATAGATGCCGAAAGGCTAGGTTTCCCTGGAAATATACATAGTATTTTTTGGGCGGGTGCTATACATCTATTGTTATTTTACCAAGGGTACCATCTCTTTTTCCCATTCAAACCTCTATTTCTAGATGATTCTTCATGAAAACCTCCAATTTCTATGGGGATTTTCCATTCAAACCTCTATTGATGGATGATTTTCCCAGCTCCAGACCTCCATTTAACGGATATGTTCCCACCCTTCCCTAGGGCCCTAGGGATTCACATCCGACCCCGCCTTCTTGGTGCCTTGGAAGAAGCAACAGCCCACGAGGCGCGACAAGATCAGGGCGCTGATGATGGGAATGGGCAGGGAACTCAAGTCCTTCCTGCGACGAAAACATGGAATTCACATGGTTTTTCTTAGCGGCCATGGGAAAACACCGGAAAAAATTCTGGAGGAAATCTCTAAAATCCGAAACACCTGGGTTTTCATGAATGTTGAGCCGTAAAAAGCAGATGATGCTTATTGATGCTGAGCTTTCTCATGAATTTGATAAATGGTGGCTTGTTCCGGACATGGGATGTGTAAAAATCAGGAGTTGACCAAGGCATATTGGATGGAAAAAAGTGCGGCGCCTTCCGACTCGGCCAGAACAACTGGGTATAATGGTGGGCAAATGATGAGTACCCTCTGGTCATTTAACATAGCTATTAAACATGGCCATAGAAATCATTGATTTACCTATAGAATAAATCTCTCTTGGCTTGATGGTGGCTTTGTTGGGGCGCGAGATTCTGGAAGATAAAGTGGTAGGTGCCAAAACAAAAAAATGGATACCCTCTGGTAAACTAACATAGCTATTGAAAATGGCTATTTCTAGTTGATTTACCCCCAAAAAAAAAATGTGATTTTCCAGAGTTATGTTAGTTTACCAGAGGGTAAAATGAGTGTTTTCCGCTCGTTTCACAACCCCCTGTCGTTCCAGAACCGCTGCTTGGAACCACAGCAGTAGAGATTCCGTGATCATCTTCAATCCCCAGCAAAAATCCCCCATGAAATCAATCTTCATGGGTGTGTCTGAAAATAGTGTACCCCTAAACCCAATGGTTTTGCTGATCATTATCCCTATTAAATGGCTATAATTGGGAATATACCCTATTTTCAGACAAACCCTCATCTTCATAATCAGTCCCAAATAAACCACGGATAATCTCCGTTACCCTCTGGTACACTATGTAAACTAACATGCTATTGAAAATGGCCCAGTCGAAATAGTTGATATTCCCATTAAAAATGGTGGATCTTTCCGTAGTTATGTGAAAGTTTACCAGAGGCTATATCAACATTCAGCATCATTCATCACCATTATGAACCATTCTTAACCATCATTCACCATTATTTTACCATAAAATCCCATTCAACCACCGTCAAACCTCATTGAATCACCATATTCCTATGGTTTTCCGATGGTTTTCCTATGTAGATTCCCCATTTCTATGGTTTTCCTATGGTTTTCCTATGTAAATTCCCCATTTCTATGGTTTTCCTATGGTTTTCCTATGTAAATTCCCCATTTCTATGGTTTTCCTATGGTTTTCTTATGTAAATTCCCCATTTCTATGGTTTTCCTATGGTTTTCCTATGTAAATTCCCCATTTCTATGGTTTTCCTATGGTTTTCCTATGTAAATTCCCCATTTCCCCATGAAATCCCCTTGGATTTCTCAGCTCCGCACACATCCGAGATGACGCCCACCAGGAAGACGATGGATTCCAAGCCCTCGCGGAGACCCGTGGTGAAGGCCAAGACGAAGAAGGCGTGTTTCTTGCCGAAGCCCACCTGGCAAAGGGATGAATGAGATATGAATGATATATATATATATATAATCATATATATATATGTTTATATATATATATATATTATAATATCATTATTATGTTTATTATCATTATTATTGTTATTGTTCTTATATTACATACATATATATATATATATTATCATTGTTATATTATATATGTATAGTATCACAACTAGTGATTTTATTAACTATACGATGAATGATATAGGGGGGTCCATAGTCATGGGGGTACCCCAATAGCTGGATGGCTTGTAATGGAAAATCCGAAAAATGAAATGGCTGATTTAGGGGTACCCCTATTTCAGGAAAACCTCAAGTCTGTATGTATATATATATATGTATCTATAGTATAACAACTAGTGATTTGATTTGGAGACATAAAATATAGAAGTCATTCTATATGGTGAATGACAGTTTATCAAATTAATGGAGGAATTAACGGAAGAATCATGGGAAAAAACGACAAAACATAATATTTAATAGAGGATTTAAGGGGATAATCATCCAGTTACTGGGATATACCTTAGGGTAAACTAACAAAGATGTGAGGAAAAAAAAGTGTATCTCAGTATATTCAATAATAATGACTTATATTATAGCATTATACTGAGATATCATTACATAGTCATTATCTATGAGATCTATATCATATATATATATGTGTGTGTATATACCCACTAAGTATATATTATCAGTGTATGACTTATATCATTATATATCATTATTAGTAGGATGATCCTCCAAGTGATGGTTGGGATGGCTGGGATGGTTGATGATACAATTGATGGGTTTTCCACATCTAGGGTAAATGTTTAGGGAAGGGTAGATTGCATTGTAACATTACTGAATCATGAAATATAGCTCATTATACTTCTGATATATCATATACATAAGTCGTGATATCATATTTTTGAAAAAGGCTTGGAGGATAATTAAAATGTTATATATATATATGTATATATATATCATATCATGAAATTCTATGTACTAATACAGTTAGTTTATTGTGTATGTATATATATATGTATAATTATATATATAAAAAGAGACCCAAAAAGGTAGAAAGTAGTTTCTCACCATTTGAGTGGGATTTTACATGTCTATACATTTCTATTTTTTTTGGTAAGAACTTATGCTCTGTGGGATGAGGTCATACCCAGTCGCCAGCCCCACCTGCATTGTGCGCGCTTCACGGGTGGCTTCCAGGGTTTCTTCCATCTGCTTCTTCATCTTTCGCTCGTGGGCTTCCTGACACGGCGGGTCCCGGGGTTTCTGGAGTGAATTGCCAGGGCAGATTTTCCAAGGTGGGACATGTTCATGAAAATGATGAAACTAGGAAAATTGAGGGCTGCTTTCTAGTGCAGGTTGATCTTATGTCAGTTGGGAATGATGGCTATAGTATCGGCTATAGTAACTCCTTCCCCCGATCAGATAAAATATGCCCCACCAAGCATCGAAACCCCGTACAACATGTGTTGGATCCATTCACTTTCAACCCAAAAGGTTGATTTGAATGAATTACCCCATCTGCCTCGTCTAACCCGACACATTTTACCACTTAAGCCATCTAACTATAGGTATATAATTGATCATGTTTCATATGTTTCACACGCTAAAACCCCGCTATTGCTTTAATGTGTATGAAAAACCTATCAAATTTACAGTACATCCATTAGATGTCATCATCATATTTTCCCATCATTCCTCACATTTGTTTCCAACATTTCCCCCAAAAATGGACCCATCTCCATCCCCAGCATCGATCCTTGGTGAAGATCATCTTGTAGAAGTTGACCGCCAGAAAGGTGAGCACAAATGAGGTCAACATCATCATGCCTTGGACCAAAAGGGCCAAGTTGTCCGTGGGAAAAGATGTCAAAAGGCCCAAAAACGGATGGGAAAACCATGGAAAAACGGGGATTGGAACTGAAAATGATGGGGAAACTGGGAAAAACATCGGTAAAATGATGGGAAAATGATGAGAAAATCATGGGAAAATCATAGGAAAACTGGGGATGTAACGTGATTTACCCTTCTGTAAACTTACGTAGGTGTGGAAAAGGGACCATGTGTAGATGATGTTCGTCGGGAAACGATGGGTTTTCCATGGTGTTCCACATCTATGTTAGTTTGCCCTCGGGTAAGTGATTTAACATACGAAAAACTGGAATTTAAAGTGGACTTAGTTGCCAAAAGTCATCCCAAAATCTGGGATTTGTAGTTGATTTCTTGTTGATTTATGCGGGAAATATGGGATTAAAACTGAAACAGAATGGAAATGATGTTGGCTGGTGATTTGTAAATTGGTTGTGGTTGATGTCATGGGCTACACTTTTGAAAACGATGAACAAATCTGAGTTGAATTTTAGAAAGTGTTTTCATCCACGGGAAAATTGAAACCGGAAACCTGCTGGTTGTCACTCCAAATCCAGACCATCAAGAAACAAATGCAGCAAAAAAAAGAAAAAAGGAGAGTGGGGTTCTATGCAGGTCTCAATTTTGCGCTGTTTACTGATGTTTGTTTGATGTTTTGTCTACGCATGGAAAATGTTGGATTTGGATAGGCAAACCATGGACAATCTTTCGGTGTCGTCTTTCTTTCACCCAAACCTTCTAGCCAGAGCAAATTAGCGGCTTGGAAAGGAACTTTACCCATCCCAATTGTATGAAACTGTATGGTTATTATCCACTCCGTGTGATGCATTTCTCCAACCCAACCATCATTGATATCATCGAACCAGTGTTCTTTTCATCATCTTCATTCCGGTCTGAATTCTTTTGCTTTAAGTACCTCTTCCTTTGCCATAGCCATGGTGACACCAAGACAAGTGAAGCACAGAACTGTTGAACCCATAGGGAAATAATATAGTGGATAAACCATGAATGTATAATGGTTATATGGTTTACTTCTAATCCCTTTCCTCTAAAGGTCAATACCGGCCAAACAAAACCCTGGTTGAGAATTGGATCTATTGGTGTTGGGGTCCATTGAAGGGGGGTAGGTAACATGATCGGGGGATGGGGTTAATGAATTCAATCTGCATAATTTTCATGAATCAAATCACGATGTTCATGGTTCAAATCAATCACCACTTGCGCGGCTTGAATCTTGAATCACCAAATTCATCCAAAACCCAAGTTCAATCAATTTCAATCATTTCTCCGGTGATAAATCACCATTCTGACCATTCTCATCCTCCATGTTTTCTTCCAAAAGTTTTCGCCTCAAAAAAAACATGGCTTTTCCCCCATGGTTTGGCCCACCCCATCGCCCAAATCACTCACCGCGGGACAGAACTGGAAGATGCGCTCGTTGTCGCCCTCGAACAAGTTGTACGCCAGCGACGCCAGCGCCAAAAAGCCGATACCAAAGGCCAGACACAGGGCGAAGCCCAAGCCCGCACCGACCCACACCTGGAGGACGATAACCGGGGGACGTCCACCGGGGCGACCGTCCTGTCCACTATAAAGCCATTATAAAGATGAGATAAAGCCAATAAGGGACCTGGGAGCCTGGATTTTTTGCAGAAAATTGGACCAAATCATGGGTGAATCTGGGATTTAAGGCGAGTTTGATGGGTTTCTGGAGCCGTAAAGCTTCTTATTTTTTGAGCGAAAACAAGTACGCTTTCAACCAAGAAACGATACAGTACCTAGTTTCGACTTGAAAAAACGATAGATTATCTATCGGATTATATTGCTGTCACATGTCTTCTTTCCATTCTCTTCAAATGCCCCGGGGATAAGCATGTGTCTTTACAAGTGGCAAAATACGATACCCCGACCCTAACCCGAATCCCCGGCAGCATGTGCCCTGCGTATCGCATCCTGGGAGCCGTAGCAACAACTGGAGGTTAATCCCAAAAATCCCCATGATCTTAGGATGGAGCTCTTGCCACACGAACTCATCACAGTTTCAGGATGTTTCAGGTTTCTTTTCCCCAAGCTACCAATCGAAGTTCTGCCCAAATTCCATCAAAACTTCTGGAAAGCTTTTGCGAAAGTTTCTTTGTTTTCGGGAATTGCACTGCCTGTTTTATTTAACATGAAACGACCAAAAAAACCTGCAAAATGATGTCTGGACATAGGATTACCCCCCTTGAAAAAACTTCTCGGTGGGATGAATGGTTGAGATTCGCCATTCAGTGGGAACCCTCAAGATCAAGTTCCCAAGTAGTGTCCATCTGTTTTTTTGCCATGCTTTTAAGGATGGATTATATATAATCATATAAAATCATATATGAGATCATAGCTCCACCAACCTGAAAAGTTCCGCCCAAAAAAAAAACTTCCCTTCATCCGCGCCCGGCCATGAAAGCGGATCCCATGAAACCCCTCATGAAACCCAGCAACCTCGCGACGAAACTTGTAGTACAAGGATTCCTCCAGCAGTCCGTCTTGTTTCATCTTGGTCAGGAATTGCAGAATGATGGCCAGCACAATGACAACTTCCAAACTCTCCTTGGCAAAATCGTACTGTAACGACAGATTATTTTGGCGCGGTTTCTCTTGATACATTGGAAACGAGGTCACCACTGGATCAAAAAAACTAGATATGATATCAATAATCCAATCAATGGGATGTTGATTAATATTTTCATAATTTTTTTGTGGTCAATATCCCGTTTATTGATTCATGTCCCATGTTGGTCAATAACCTACATCATATCATGGTTATTAGAGAATTGTCATGCCCTGAAAAGGTCCGTCATTTGGGGATAGGGGGGCCCTTACTGACCACCTTTGTAATGTGACATCAATGTGATGACCACCCAGACTGGTGGAGTTCAATACCATTTTCTGGTAAACTAACATAGCTATTGAAAATGGTGGTCTTGAATATACCCTCTGGTAAACGTTTACAAAAACCTCTGGAAAATCACCATGTTTTTTTTGGGTAAATCAACTATTTCGACTGGGCCATGTTCAATAGCAAACTGTTAGTTTACCAGAGGGTAACTGAAAATGAACTCTTTGATAAGCTATCTAACATTGGCCGTGATCACACTGTTTCAACCAATCTTTCCCAAGGGACATCATCGATTCCTTTCCCAAGGGCCATCATCTTCCCCCCAAAATGGGAGAACCTTCTCCAAACACTCCGGGTACAACGGGGTAAGTCTGGTGGCTATCACCTATTACGAGTTGGAGCAACCCTCCAAAACATGGGAGAAATGATAGGTTTCGATTCATCCCCCCTTGAATTTTGAGGTTTCGACTCAACATTCTCTCGATGTTCCCACTTCCTCTCCTCATTTGTCTGCGTCATCATGTGCGTTTTTTAACACCAAAGCGCCTCCGGAAAAAACCTAACTTTGTATATAATTACCTCAAAAACGCCGAACCCAAAAAAAATAACCCAGAAAAGGGAAAGAAGAAACAGTTTTTATTCCAGCTTCAAAACAATTCCCAAAAATCCCAAACAATTACAATTGACACACAAACACCAAAAAATTACATCTAAAAATCGAACAATACCCAACAAAAAAGTCTCTTGTGACTTGATTGATAAACCCCAACTATAGTTATGACCACAAACCCAACGGTTGATCTAGCTATGTTCACCAACTTAGCGAACTTTAATGCGTCATGGTTGTTCCCACATTTTTTTCCAGGGTTTTATCCCCGTTTTCATGGCACCACGGTGTATACCCTAGTCAGTTCATTAGTAGCCCCATCTAGATAACTATAGTTGTAACCATAAACCCAACAGTTTATCTAGTACCATGAATCGTAAACCCAACATTGAAGAACTGGGTATAAACCAACTTCATGAACTGGCATCATTCAGTTCATTTATCACCCCATCTATATAACTGTAGTTACCATATTTCAAAAATAAACATATCATAACCATGGCCCCCAACTTGCTAAATCTAGCTCTGTTCACAAAAGAAAACACCTTGACAAATGGAACATCCATCATTTACTGTTAGATGTTTTCCCAGCGAATGAAACCTCCATGGCTACACTCCGGGGATTTCCCAGCAGCGGATTTCCCGTCATGCTTGATGACACCAGAGGGTATATCTAAATCCAAATAACATATAAAGTTGCTTATATATATATATACATGTATATTACTCTGGGTAAATTATAATAATTCACTAACCTGAACTAAGGCCATTTGGTGATGATTTCCAATACTAACCGTTATTCCAGTGAGGTCGCAGTGAGGTCGTTATAGTTTACCCAGTAATATATGTGGGGGTTGTCCAAAATACTTTTTCCCGGACAGCCCTCAATCGCTCAGCCAATCGCGTAGCAACCGCGGTACCACAGTGAGCAATCGCGGAAGGGTTTTGTTCTTCGTTGATCTGATCATATACTTAAAATATAAGTTATGTATTAAATAATGAATCGTGACAAAAAATCTTATGCCAATTCTTAGTAATATTATTGCATTTCGGTTGAATGTGAAACACGTTTGCCGTCTCAGCAGTGCTGCGGCGCTGCCACCGCCATGAAGAGCTATACCTTGGCTGGCTGACTGAGTTTGTTGTTAACACAACGGAGCCACTCACTGGAAAATCTAAAAAGATTCCATGTATAAAAATTGGGTTGGTACGGCACTTCCGGATCATGAACATTGGAGGGTTTCTGACTGGTTTCTGACTGGTTTCTGACATGTTCCGGATATATGACTAGACTTCCACGCTATATAGCACCGATGGTGATACATGGTTGTAGAAGCCTGGTACCTAATGGCTATCTTCGTGCCTACCCAAAATATACCACCGGTACCATAGAAAACTTGTCCGCACCCAGCTGCTGGAAAGTTCAAGACAAGACACGGTGGAAAAGACATTCTCACTGGCTTCACTCTACTTCTGGCCTCCTGGCGTCCGAGACAACTTGTCCGTGAAGTATGCGATGCATATGAATTTCTGAATGAGGGCACCGTCTCGCTTCCAAGTGTATCTGCTTTCATATGTCAAATTAAATTAGACTTCATTAGTTCTAACTATAGTACATCCTATCATAAACCGCTGCTGTACTTGTATCCAGTTTCAATGGAACATGGAAGCAAAAACAAAGAACGGTTTGAAAATAGACGCCATTCATGATGGATGGCACGGCCCAGCTGGTTTCTGACTGGTTTCTGACTCTCCTGCAGACGTGTGTGAAAACTAAGGAAAAGGGTAAGTCTGACTCCTAGTTTGAAATATCTGTTGTCCAGGCAATGATTCGGGCCTGGCACACTGGCCATTGCTGCAACAGCATATGCCGAATCAAACCGTGCTTATACGCTTTGAAGATCAACAAGCATAAAAAAAGGCCCTACGACGACAGTCCGATGACAAATCGCAAACAATCTTTCGCCTGATCTTGTACAACTGGTGGGTTCCCCCCTGACAATTTACGAACGGCCTAATCTTTTTTCTCGCTGTGTTCAAGATCTGCCTTGAGATAGCTGACCCCAAGCTTGAGTGGACGAACCCCTCCACTGGCTACCCAAAAAAGTTCAAGAGCTCAGTCACCTGCGCTCAATCGACATTTTCAGCCACGCGGATCTTTTGAGGACCCTTGTTATGGGCTTTCTGTCGAGTCTTGTTTTCAAGGGCTTTCTTCTTTTTGCACTTCTTACAGAAACGGCCTGTAATCTTTCCCTGCTTGCACTGGTACCAGGCTGACCGACGGGATCGAGGGACCCCACAGCCTTGGCATTGCTGAAACAAGGGCTCTTTGCTACCGGTAGGGTTTCGGTTCTTGGACTGGTCAATGCAGAAAGCACGTTTGGGCGCTTCCAAGACCGCAACTCTGTTCTGTAAGTCCTTGACCTGCTCTCCCATCTCGCAAAGATGCTTCAACAAGCGGTTGAAGCCAGCTTCTGGTACTAGAAGGTGCCCAGACACAGGGTCAACCGAAGAAGGGTCATAGACATCTTCAAGTTCAAAGTTGCGGTCATGCCCAGGCGTTGGGTAAAGCACTCTGCAGACAGAGGCGTGGACATCAGGCTGCATCTTGACCCAGTTCACCTCATGCTGAAACTGACGGTAGAAGCCATTTTTTTTAAAAGTAAACGGAACCAGGAGACACACGGACAGGATACTAAACTAAAAGGACATGCCGATACTGCAAACAATAATGAGCCTGTGGCCTGTTGCAATAACGTTTCTTCTTGCATACCTATAGCTATATCATGGTGGTACCTTGGTTAAGTGCTGGCGAGGCACACTGCCATCCTTCCGTTGCACCTCTATGCCGTGTTCCCAAAGCTGCCGCGGGGACTGGAACTCCCACGCGTAACAGCCTGCCGTGCCAGACTTCTCAGCCAAGAACATTGCAAGCTGATGCTCTGGCACCAGGTGCATGTCCTGACAGGCAACCAACTTCGCCTTCGTGAGCCACTTGCACCCGGTGAGCCTACACAAAAATGAGCATTAAACCGGTCGCAAGAATTGGGAGAGTTGATCTATCTAAGAGGTTGATACTCGTACAGCATCTGCAAACAAATTGTGTGAACACGCAGACGTCAAGAGATTTAAAATGTGCCCAACACATGGAAACACCTACTTCTTGGTCAAAAAGTCTGTGGTCCCAATGCCCGATAACCGCATGCAGACCAAGAACCTGACAGCACCTTGGACCACATTGCTGCCACTTTGGAGTAGAGCAATGTCATGGCCCAAGCGACGACAAGGTTGCGTGCGAAGCTCATAGCATTTCTTCCCTGCTAGCACTAAGTCTAGCCACTGCTTCTGCAGTGTGAAAGCAGACTCGTACAAGGCCATTTGGCCTAGAGACTGCGTGAAACGCCTTAGCCCCTAGCTGGAGTCGAGACGAGGGCAACGTGGCGAGAGCAATGTGATCTGCTTGCAACTGCAACTCGCCCAACAAACATGTCACCACAGCCCGCGAGAATTGGAAGAAGGCTCTGAATATTTCAATCCGGAAATTTCTCAAGACGTCATCGCACAAATATCAAAAGCGGTCTCTTTCTATTTCATTCTCCCCAGAGTCTGGCAGAAATCAGAAATCATAGAGCAAACACTATGGCAACCGCTCTGCTGCATCCAACGGGCAACTCTATCGCCTATGACGTTTCATATGACGTTTCGCTACAAAACCCACCAGTCCTTGCAAGTCCAGAAGCTGTAAGGAAGCATACCCGCCGCCCTCCGCTGCCATCGGCTGCCAACGGCCAAATCTGATATTAAAGTGGTAGGTAGTGTGACGGAACATAGAAACAAATATCTGCAAAACCCTCGCACACAGCCAATTTTGCTTCGATTTCCGGGCTATGAAAACTGGATGGGTGTCTTGCGGTTCGTCAAACAGCAACAAAATGTTTTCGTCATCTACTCTGTTTTGCTGCCATCTCTGATTCACGTCCCTTTTCTTCAGCTGCCTCCTGCTCCAAACCTTTCAAAAATAGCCGCTCATCTTATACTATGTTGATCAACCCTAGCAGCCTGAGGCCAACAGGACACCGTCCAGTGATTCATGCGTGCACGCATG